AGCACACCGATGGAACTCGGGACGAAATCTATTGGTCGCAGCGCTCACACGCCCAAGGGAGAACGCAGCCGCATAAATCCAAGGTCGTCTTACCTCATTCTCAAAGAACGATGCAACCCAGCGTCTAAGGGCCAAAAGAACCCCCCCAGGCCAAAGCGTCTGACGACATGGAGAATTCAAACCCGGAACCAAAGAATGCACTGTTGCAAAATTAAAACCCAAGCAAATGCACCGTGAAAACAAAGCATTTTCACCACTGGAGCTAAATTGGCAAGACCCAAGTTAAGTTAGTAACACATACAATATACAGTACAAAATGCTTCAATTACAAAAGTTACAATATACAAATTTTTCCACGTTTGCCGGCAAAGAGCGATGACTGTGCTCGCTCGTTGCTGTTGCCCAGCAAGAACCAAACAATACGAGGAGGTCTGGAGTGCGTCTTGCCATTAAAAGAGAGGACTAGGGTTTGATAGCATGAGTGAAGGACACCGTATTTTGTAAATTTGGACGCCGTAGTTTAAAAATGATGAATACGGTATTTTGTGAATTATGAACGCAGTACTTTGTATATTCTAAAGGCGTACTTTATCAGTCCTGAATGCATGTTATTAACAACATATTTAAAAAAAAATCGGGCATTTTTGGAAAAATATCCACTTTCCTTCGTGTTCACAGCACTTAACACAAAACATTTTCGCTAATATTTATTAACAATAAATTAGAAATTCGCGAACACGTGCTTCTTTTAACCCAAAACGAAGCTCCAATGTTGCTGCTACCAGACCGGAATCAAAACTGAACAGAAAGGATCGAAAATGTGACCTTTTATCAGGTAGCTCACGTGACAGTGACATCATCGTACGTCACGATGAGATTGCAAAAATTATTTTTCATATTTTAGATCAGAAATTGTACATTTTCGGGGTTAATTTAACAACGTTTAAACAAACTAATTTGTTTTACTAACCTCGTGTTCTTAGGAAAACGGATTTCGGTTTAATTATCATATATTGATAGTTATCATATTTGAACATTATGAATTGTATTAATTATGTTTAAATTTTATTTAATTATATCGCGAAAATGTATAGCTTTGACCCACCAACTTCAATCGTTTCGAAAATTTATCCAAAATGTAAACATTGTCGACCAAACGAATCACGGAATCCGATAAATTAAAACTGAAGTCGTACTTACCCTGTTTTCGGTCCTTTTGGGAAAAATATCCATTTTCGTTCGTGTTCACAGCACTAACACAACATATTTTCCGTAATATGTATTAATAATAAACTAGAAATTCGCTAAAACGCTCCACTTTTACGCCGAAATGAAGCGACGATCTTGCCGCCATCAAACAGAAATTAAAAGTGAACACAAAGGACCGAAACACGTGACCTTTATACAAGTAGCTCAGGTGACATTGACGTCATCGTACGTCACGATGAGATTGCAAAATTTATTTTTTATATTTTGGCCGGGAAAATGCACATTTTCGGGGATAATTTAATATTGTTTAAACAAATTGATTTGTTTTTAATAATTTCGGGCTTGTAGGACAACGGGTTTCGGTTTAATTATCATACATTCATGCTTATCATATTTAAATATTATAAATGATATTAATTATGTTTAAAATTTATTTATTTATGTCATGAAAATGTATAGTTTTGATCAACCGATTTCAATCGTTTCGAAAATTTTCCCAAAATTTAAATATTGTCGAGTGAACGAATCACGGAATCCCATAAATTAAAACTGAGCTCGAACTTACCCTGTTTTCGGTCCTTTTCGAAAAAATATCCATTTTCGTTCGTGTTCACAGTACTAATACAACACATTTTCACTAATATTTAAATATATAAATTAGAAATTCGTGAAAAGAGCCCTACTTTTAAGCCAAAACGGACTCTGATGTTGCTGCCACCAAACCTAAATCAAACTAAACGCAGAGGACCGAAAAATGTGACCTTTTATCAGGTGGTTCACGTGACAGTGGCGTCATCGTACGTCACGATGAGATTGCAAAAATTATTTTTCTTATTTTCGCTCAGAAATTGTACATGTTTGGGGTTAATTTAACAATGTTTAAACAAACTAATTTGTTTTTGCTAACCTCGTGTTCTTAGGAAAATGGTTTTCGGTTTAATTATCACATATTAATAGTTATCAAATTTAAACATTATGAATTATATTAATTATGTCATTTCTTCAACTCTTGAGTTATTTTCTAAAATAAATTGACCGACCCATACATTTTTTTGTCACTGTAAAAGCAAATCTAAAAAATATGAATGCAATGATAAATTTACGAAAATATACTGATGATATTTTGCACATTTTAGATAGGATTTATTCGGCAAAATCTTGAGATGACGTCATCAAGTTTTTGGGCTTGATAAACAGATATATTTTGATTAAAAACCTACCATGTCAAACAGTAACTTCAAAACGTCTGCAGTATTTCAAAATTCAGTTTTGCAATTCTTGATTCAATCAATAAAATAAATTGACTCAGTGATTAATTTTTTTGAGGCACCCCCTACAAGCAAAACTAAAAAATATGAATAGAATGATAAATCACAAGTATAGTCTCATCCTATTTTGGACATTTTAGAAGGATTCATTTGGCAAAATTTTGGGCTGACGTCATCAATTTTTTGGAGGGGATAAGTAAACGTATTGTGAATACAAATTTATTATACGCTTATAATATGTTTAAAACATCTGCAAGATTTCAAAGCATTCGGTTTTGCAGATTCAAAATTAAATTGTAGGTGAAACGTAGTTCACGGGGTCAGCTAGTATTTAATAGTAATTTGAATTCTTTGGACCAATCTACCATCCTTTCAAGATTATTTTGAAGCAAAATGCTATGATCTAAGCATCTTATTGAGGAGTATGGTTTTATATCTTCAGCATATGCTAACACTTTACAACGTAATGAGTCCAAAAGATCGTTGATAAACACTACAAAAAGTAAAGGCCCTAAATTAGACCCTTGTGGCACTCCAGAGGTGGAAACAAAATTTTTAGATTGAAAACCGTTATAGAAAACAATTTTGTCGGGAGTCAAGGTAAGACTCCATTAGCTTTAAGAAACTGTATGCAAATCCAAACCAACTTAATTTACATAAAAGAACATGATGATCAATGGAATCAAACGCACAAGAAAAATCAGTATAGATAACATCGACTTGTCCATTCTTATCTATTTGTTGTGAAATGAATTGACTTATTATAGCTAAATTAGTGATTGTAGATCGTCCAGGTAGAAATCCATGTTGATATATAGAGATGAGACTTTTAACATTGTGATAAATTAATAAAAATCTTTTTGAAATTTCAAATCAATTGACGTTTTTTGTCAGAAGTTAACAAAAGTCAAAATTGCCCACTATGTTTATTTTTGAAAAAAGAGTTGATAAAACTTAAAAAAATATCCATGTAAGCTTGGACGGTGTATTGTGGGTTGCAATTCCAATTTAGTCAGGCTCATACTCATTCGTGTAATACCCTGTATAAGGAACGCAGTAGACAAAACAGTGACCGTAAGTTGGGGACGATGCAGATGGCGGGCGGGGAATCACTCGATCAGATGGCGAGACGATGCAGTTGTGAAGCCTAATTTTCTCAATATTTCATAAGGGCGTAGTTAGGGGGAGGCTAGGGGATGCTCCCCTAGATCTACACAAGTTATAATTAACCAAATGTGAATTACAGCATCCAAAAACCAAATCAAATGCAGTGTTTTATTCAATAAACGGAAATCAGAGCATTAAAACCATCGCCATTGTCATCCGGTTATTGCAATTCGTAGAAACCATGTTTTGGTATAGTTTGTGTTTCACCATCACGTCTGCAAGTTGATATCAGTGTTATGGCTATTTGTCTTAAATTACAAGTACTATACAGAATGTTCATTTTATCTGTTCACGCCTGACAATTTTTGCATAGGCAACATATTATACACGTTTCCGACAGCGAGGGAAGTACTGTGTAAACTCTTTAAACCAATTTTTTTCAACTTATAGAGGTTCTCATAAAATAATACAATTCGCAAAATCAAACTGTACATTTTTTCTAAAATGTTGGATACTACATTAAGATACTCCAGAGGCGAGGGAAGTTCTGATAATTTGGAAGTAAACGTGAATTGTTAGGTTAAAGTCAAAAACGAACAAATTCAAAACAGGAGCTCATCAGGGCATCTCCTAAATGTTCCCTACCCAACCGTAGAGCACTTACCATGTATCAAATCCATGTAAGTTTTTTGTAGTTTGAATACACTTTGAATCAATTCCGACCAGATGTCACTTTTAACATAATAATATCTGACACCCTAGTCTGACACTACGTCATGTTTGTTACACAAGATAGTTAACTATAATTTTTGGAAATCCATTCTGTTCAAGTTTATTTTTAATTTAGGATAGTTGTCCGCCTATCATTAGTCTCCTAATGATACACTACGTTCAAGAAGCGGACAACTATCCCAAATAGTTAACTAAGTTTTACTTTTTCTTTTAAATGAAATTATATGAAATTTCAAATATGGGTTTGAAATAGTATTTCTAGTTGCGTCTTCATTTTTTTAAGGGTAAATTATTGAAGCCATTTTGTAATAGGAACCTCTGACTGAAACTAATTAAATATCTTCGTCGAAATATCCTTCCGAACTCATAAAATTTGACCAAAACATGCTTTCTAGTTAAAATTTAATGGTTTTCTTGGTATTTTCGGACCCGTACTGTGTCTGAAAGGCTTGAAACCACAAGAACACAGCCAAAAACAAGGTAGGTACATAATTGAGGTAGATAATTGAAGTAGAAGCAAGAGGAAAGAAGAGAGGAGAAACATGGGGGACTAAGTAAACAAATATAAGATTTTGAGAGGATGAAACAAGAATACATCTATAAAATTGTTGTTAGTGTCAAAATTACATCTACTTTTGAACAAAAATTTTTGTGACTTACTTATCTAACCATAATTCACTTTCAGTTATTTTTTATACCACTAAACATATTTGTCATTTTTAAAATTAAATTAATACACAATTATATTTCTTCCTTTTCCTCTTTTCACTAATCATAGCTTTAGCTGCTTCCGCAAACACAGCGTGAACATTGGATCTAGTCTTTGCAGAACACTCAAGATATGTTACTGCTTCTATTCTCTTGGCAACCGTTTCCGCGTCTTTGCTTGTCACTGGTCTCTCCTTCACCTTCGCAAACTTTTCCAGTTCTTTTCTATCTTCCCTTAAGTCACTTTTGGTACCAATTAGCAAAATGGGCACATTCGGGCAAAAGTGTTTCACTTCAAGCCACCACAGAGCGGAAACATTTTCCAAAGAAACCCTCCGTGCTACAGAAAAGCAGATCAAAACAACGTCTGCTGCTGAATATTGGATGGGTCTTAGATGATTATACTCCTCTTGTCCGGAAGTGTCCCACAGAAACAATTCTATATTTTTACCGTCAACTTCAATATCTGCTGCATAAGTTTCGAAGTCAGCAAATATATACTCTTCATAGAACTTGTCATTGGCAAATGCAATCAAAAGACAGGTTTTCCCACAGCCACCATCACCCACGACTACTTTTCTTCCGGAGGGACATTTTCAAATACAACACGGATAAACTAATTTACTACATTTGTCGGTTGATGGGAATAAAATATATTTACATGTTTTTAGGTTTCTTGAGAAATATTTCGTAATCACTAATCAAATAATGAAAGATAAGTCCTATCTGTAGAGTTTTAGATGCTGTCTCTGGCATAATATTTCTACGACTACCTCTAAACTCAATTTAGTGATTTGTTTACACACTGAATTGCCACCAAAATAAAAGCAAGTGCTAAATACTCCAAGTCTTAAATTATTCTATTATTTAATACTGTTCAACATGCAATTTGGACCAAACTACATCTATTTACTCTTGATTCAGTATTTATCAGTGGCGGCTCCTCAGAGGAGGCAGGGGAGGCTGAGCCTCCTCTGTTTTTTGGAGCTGAGCTTCCTGTAATTTTTTTCGGTGAAAAAATTTATATTTTTGTAGACATTTGTTATTTTTCAGAATATTTTGCTGGATTTCATTTACTTTCATCATATATCAGGTTAAAATGTCGCACATTCACACCACTCCGCGTTTGGTTTCAGCGGCAGAGGCTTGTTAGCCGCTAGCCTCCGCCGAGAATGCATCTTGCTATTGAGACCGTAGACCTTGACGCATCGTCAGTCTGTATTGCATTGGCTAAAACGTTCATCGGACTGCCGCTCCAAGCCGCTAGCCTCCGGCCAGTTCATCTCTTTTCAGATCAAGTCGTACAGATAACTTTATCTCTTTCTTATTAGTTGGCGCAATCGGGTGTAAGTAGGAAAAACTTTGAGGTGGTTTCGCGAGCTCCCTGTTCAGTGATGGTGATGTTTAGGCTTTACGTAGGTAAGGGTACAAAAGGGGAGACCAACACCATCACTCCCATTAATTGTATTGACAGTTACAATTAGAAATAAAACAGAGCATTTCATGAAAATAATTATAATAAAACTAAATAGTTAACGGCTTCGGTTTTAAGAAACAAATTATACTGTTGGAATTGTGTATTATTTATAAGTGATAAATCTTCCGTTTGGGGTAAAACAGGCTAAAATAATTTACAAAATTTGTCACGAGCTATAGAAAGGCATGAAAAATCATAGGACCACATATTTTCTTCGATTAAATTAGAAATGCTTGTAAACAAAACAATGCCAATCATTTAGATTCGGCCCATAAAAGGGAGAACTATTACGAGAAAGTTGGTGAAAATTGGGCAATTTTGAAAAGACTAATCGATGCAAAAGTTTATTTATCTATCAACGCACGAGTGTTCTTTTCGTGGGCATGACAAAAAAAATATTCAGATAATGAAAGATAAAAAAGTAGTGCTTTTCAAATTTGAGCCTCCTCTGAAGAAAACTTCACGAGCCGCCACTGGTATTTATGTTACCGGCAATCTGTATAATTAGGTATTCTATACAATACCTAGGCAATGTGTAGAATGCCTAAAACGTTAAGGTAATGTATGAAATATTATTCATTTTATACTTTGCCTAGGTATTCTATACAATGCCGAATGCGCAGCCGGTAATGTGTGTAAAAGACGAGAGTAGACTTTATGAAGTGGTGTAACTCAAATAAAATATCAAAATACACGGAAAACGTGTTACTTACGTATTTTTCCAAACAAGCTGAAGTGTATAAAGCACCATCCCTTTGGACGTTGTTTTCAATGTTAAAAGCAACTATGTTAGCAAAAAATGTCGTAAATATTCAACCTTTTCAAAAGTTATAGCATTCCTCTAAAGAAAAAAGGTTGGATATCAACCCAAAAAGTCTAAAATACTAAATTTTGAACAAATTACGCAATTTCGGAAACAAGCTCCGGACGAACAATGTCTTATGATAAAAGTAAATATTTGATACAAAATTCTCTTTTCCCATTATCACAAAACATAACTTGTTGCAGACAGCACTGATTTTGGCGTTTGCGGGGCCTGCCGACGTTAAGAGCTTTATAACCTCGCACCACAAGACACCACTGAAATCCATGATTCTCTTGTTATAAAAATCCCAGATACCAAAATCTATAAGCCTAGGACGTTTACCGTAATCAGTCCAGATCTAAACACTGATTATTTGGCTTTTTATAAAAAATATTCCGCTTTACGTGCAAACAAACCTGTAGGAGAAAAAGATTTTTTTTAATATCAGAATGGACACTGTGTTAATCAAGTTGTAGAGATAAATACATTCGGAAGTTTACCACAAATCGTAGCTACTTTTTTGAATTTAGAGAGCCCGCAACTAAACACAGGCCACTACTTTCGTCGTTCATCCACAACACTATTTACTAATCAAGGGGGAAATGTTATGCAAATTAAACGCCATGGAGGATGAAAATCCTCTAATGTAGCAGAAGGCTACATTGCTGATTCAATCTCAAACAAAATGAACACTACAAGAAAAATTTTGACAGATCCTAAACCAGGTACTAGCACTAGTGCTTCGGGTGCATATGTGAATATTCAACAACATATTATTGAACACTTGGCGGAAAATGTTACGTCAGTTATGCATCCGTTGGGATCAAAATTTAACTTTAACAATTGTACCATTGGTACTATTAATTATAATAGAAAAACAATAATTTGATAATTGTAATGTCGTCGTTATTTGTGTAATAAATAATCTCCATTTTAAAATATATTAAAATTTAACTTAAGATTTTATTATTATTATTGATTGAAGCCGCAGAAAAAAATGTGTATGCATTACGTGTGTAAACTAGCTTTACGACATTCGTCCAACAATTTTCGTGACTCGGCAAGCCTCGTCATTTTTTTATAATAAATTAAATGGAAAGGTCTGAACGGAAGGTGTATGGTAGAAAACGAAATATAAATAAATGATTATAATATACATATTTAAGTAGACACCCTTAACTGAAAGAAAAATTTATTGAAAGCAATTTGCTCATCTATAAAGTACCGTGTGATTTTTTTTTAATTTCTACTCTAGTTAATCATGACGTGTACGCCAGGAGTGAAACTGAGACGGCTGACGTATTTAAAAAATCACCCAATACAAACACCTACCGCATATACATCGGGAGTGGTTTTCAGAAGAGATTTGTTATAATTTTTTGTTGCACACAAGTTTATTAAAATTAAAAGAAAACACAATTATTGTTAAATTTATGCTATAAACGCCGTATACACTTAGATTTTGTGCAATTATCCCGGACATGTGAAATGTCTAATACGAATTCATTTGTTTATACATTCCAAAAACATTCATTCATCGATCATTTTGTGGCCGCCTGGAAGTAGGCAACCAGTTATACATACATAATGCAGCCACCGGATTGGCAGTTACACCGCGCAAGCCTAAAGAGGAAACGCCACGGTGGAAACGTAAAACAGACTCTCTTCTTCTCCGACCACTCACCGTGTACAGACGTCCTCCTCTTCAAGACCTCCACGTGGACATACACATACAACCTTGGGCCGTGTTATCATTTTTGTAGTTGGTATTGTAAATAAACCTGTACTAAAACCGTTTCCGTTAGTAATTCGACGACAACAATTACAATTGGTGACCCCGACGTGATCGAAGAACTACGGGTACGAACATGCCGACTGCCGAAGAACTGCAACAGCAACTCGAAAAACAGCAAGAAGCCATCCGGAAGCTAGAGCACACTCCAGCCAGTCACAGACATCGTAGCGAACCCACCAGACAAAGAGAGGTACGATACAATTAAGAAGAAACTGATAGCCGCCTACACCGACTCACAGGAGAAGCAGCTACGAAAGCTGATAAACGAGATGGAGCTAGGGGACCGACAACCATCCCAGTTATTCCGCGAAATGAAGGCACTCGCGGGGCAACAGATGAATAGCGAAGTCATAAAAACGCTCTGGCTACAGCGACTTCCACCACATGTCCAACTCGTGCTGTCTGCGAGCGAGGGAGTACCGCTGGAAAAGATGGCAGAAATCGCGGACAAATTGGCGGAAATACACAGAAGCAACGCTATGGCTTCCAGTATCAACGCGATAGGCGCCACCAGCGACACGACGCGGCAGAACACCATCGTACCAACGCAGGAAACCAACCTCATTACGGTAATTGCAGACCTCCAGAAACAGATGGCGGCCTTATCGGTAGCCGTAACTCATCTAACCAACACGAGAGGGCGCAGTCCACAAGCACGGCAAAATGACAGCCGAAATCGGTCAAGGACACACAGCAGGCAACGCACGGATCAAAATGGCGTTTGTCATTACCACGCCAAGTTCGGTGTAAACGCCCGAAAGTGTTTCAAACCCTGCACGTTTGTACAGCCGGAAAACTAGAGGCGCCGTCGGGTATCGAGGCGGTACACGACGACGCGCGTCATCATCGTCTCTTCGTCACGGATCCCAAATCCGGTATCAGGTATCTAGTCGATACCGGAGCAGAGGTCTCAGTCCTGCCGAAAACGTTTTCAGGTAAGGCTCAGTCACAGACACAAGATACACCCGCCCTATTTGCAGCGAACAACACACCCATCCGCACGTTCGGCCAGAAATTCATGGTGGTTGACTTGAAGCTACGCAGAACTTTTAAATGGGTTTTCATCCTCGCGGACGTCGAGAAACCAATAATAGGGGCCGATTTTCTCGAGTACTACCACCTCCTACCGGACCTGAGAAACCGGAAGCTGGTAGACCCCTTGACACATCTCTCTTCCCCTGGTTTCGTATTGGCCTGCTCCGTACCACGTATTACGACGGTGGCAAAAACCTCCAGCTACCACAACCTGCTGGCGGAATACCCGGAATTGACGAAAGCACCACGTCCGGGAAGTCAAATATCCAGCTCCGTAGTGCATCACATATACACAACAGGCCCTCCTGTAGCTGAAACACCACGCAGACTACCACCGGAGAAACTCAAGGCCGCCAAAGCTGAGATCCAGTACATGTTGGAGCAAGGGTGGTGTCGCCCCTCCAGCAGTCCATGGGCCAGCCCACTGCACCTCGTACAGAAGAAGAATCCTGGGGAATGGCGTCCTTGTGGGGATTATCGG